TTTCTAAAATATTAGGAAATAACTTTCTAAACTAATAAGGGTAACTTAGGAAATAGTTTTCTAATATAGGCCTCCCTAAAATACCCGATCTAACTTATTTTTATGGTTCATTTAATTGCAGTCATTAGATCAAATGTGTTTGGGCCAACATGCTTAAGTGAAAGCATAGAGGAGATATTTTAAGTGGAATGACATGTCCGAGGACTTCGGAAAAACGTTCATTAAACCTAATATAGGATTTATGAATAGAAAAGATGCATTAAGACATATAACTTAATGTATAAAGAGTTGGTCAAATTCTCCTTGAGAGAGAGAGGCACACATATTTCTATACGTAAAGAAAAATTATGACATCTTCATCATAGAAAGAATTATGTGCATGTTCTTCATGATAGAAAGAATTTAGAGCTAGCACCCTTGATCTTTTATCGCTTCTTTATATTGGTATCTAAGTTGCATAGATTTTCATTAGAGATTAGACACTTGAATGATTCAATCCGCTAACTTGATACTATACTTTAAGAGGAAACAATCTAAATGATTTTTGTTAATATAATTAGTTGATTCAATAGCTAATATTTGGACTTTAGATGGGAGAAAATAAAATTTTTATTTATTCTCGCTCCTCTATAGGATGTTTGTCCTTCACTAGCCCTATAGGCAAATGAGTGTAGTAGTGCACTAGAATTTCAAATTGAATTCCGGATACTTTGGCCCTTACACCATCTTGTAAAGGATCGATAAAGTGATGTATAAATTGGATCTACAAAAGGATGCTTTTATATATCCTATGTTCCATGTCTTGTTAAAAAAGAGAGTTAGAGACTCTACAATTGTCTCTATTTTACTTCCTTCGCTTGATTTAGAGGGTCATATAAATCTTTCTCCTGCCATAGTGTTTTATGGAAAGATTATAAAGAGAGGTAATAAAGTAGTAGTTATAGGGATGATTCAATGGACTATGTTATCTCGAAGAAAATGCTACGTTAGAGGTCTTAAAGGACATGAAGATCCAATTCTCTAATTTTTATTTTGATCCTCGAGGATAAGGATCTTTTAAAGGAGAGAGTAATTTTATGAACTTCTAGGTTTATGTGGGATCATATCTACTACTTTTATAAATAGTTTTAGTAGTTAATGAACTATGCCAATCCGGCATTTAGTTAGGATAATTGGTAGTTAGTTGTAATAATAGTTAGTAGTTGTATATAAATAAGGTAAAAAGAAAAGTCATGCATTTAGTGTGCGAAATAAGAAATCAAAACAGACTTTTCTTCCTCGGCTTTATCACCTTTTTCTTCTCTCTATATCTTTTTTTTTTCCAAAGCCTTCTTTCTTAAGGAAAAAACCCTTAACATAAACTTTGAATTATAAAACAATGAAAAACCAATCAAGTAATATATTTTTTTGGAGTTCAATTAGTTTTTTGCCTTCATATGATATATCTTATCATTTAAACTCCTTCATTAGGAAATGCTTCGATTACCAATCTTGTTTTTTTTTAAAAAAATCTACTTGTTGATGTCTTCATAGGCTTGTAACTTCCTATATATCATAATACAACTTGTAATTACAATGCCGCTTCTTGATAGTTTCTTAGTATATCTACATTCTCCATTCTTTAAAGGTCGGACATTGACACCGAAAGGTCGTAATCAATCTACAAAGAAGACAACCCGCATTTAAACAAAACATATATATATATATATATTTGTTCAATAAGTTCCGGATGTATCTTTGAAAAACTTCAAGATTAGCCGAGAAAGAGGCACGAGAATCAAATTACATGTATGAAACTCAAGAGGAAAAGTTGCATTCAATAGCCATAGAGTTTGATATTCAATTCTATTTAATTAATTTACATGGAAGAGGAAAATAACACATAAGTTTAGATGAAATTGAAGGCTCCAACTAAGACATAGATCATAGTAAAACCAATTCAACAAAGTAAAGCATAAAATTAATCCCACATTCAAACCATCGATGATGAAAGATGAAAATGAAAATATAATTTTTACTACAACGTTCGAGGAAACAACAGTAGATGACTAGTAATTTTTACTAGCACAAGGCCTCTACACTAACTCCGGTGTAATGAATTAACTTTCGGTAATGAAGTTTGCATCATAATAGAAATACTATGAAGTAAGGAAGAAATTTGCACCAAACATTGGGCTTACCCCAAAGTAGATCGAGTTGTGAGCATGATGTTTAGGTATGCCGAAGCTTCTAGTGTATAGGAGTAGATGTTAACAACTTCGAAGACAAAGTGTGGTCAAGATATTCATATAACCTTTAAGATCATAAACAAATTGATCAAGATGTTTTTTTTTCTTTTCTAAATTTACCTTATCCTTAACATTGTCTTTATCTTATGTGAGAATAAGTGACCTTAATTTGGGTTTGATTGTAGCAATGAGTTTAAATAGAGTTAGAGTCTTTTATTTAAGTTAGGATACAATTAAAGATTCATAAAGATAGATGAGACTAGAGTTTCATAGTTCATATGGGATAAGTTTTATTTGATCTTGTCTTATCTTATCTTATGTAATTCAAATTTTGAAAGGATAAATTGCCTAATATAGCCAACCCGTAACTAGTATAAATAAGGGTTTTTATGGTTGTAGAGAGGAAAATCTTTCATACTTTGAAAATTAATAAAATACTTGAAAATTTTCTCTCTAAATATTTGAATCCTTATGCATTGCTTAGGATTTTTTTTATGGATCCTTGACTTAATCAATCATAATCATCTAAAGCCAAACCAACCGATATAGTTGGGTTATTAATCTTGCCAAAATCAATCAAACTAAGAACTTTTCCATCCATGCAAAGTTTCGGCCTTAATCTACTACGTTTGAAACTTTTATATCATCCATTATTTTCAAGAAAGATAATAATTTCTTAGTCTTTCGAAGGAGCTAAGATTCGACAACAACAACTTAAAAAGTCAAGAGCTTAGGGCTTGTCTAAGTGTTCACAAAAATGGTGTCAACTTGGTATCCAAATTAAGATTGCTTCAATGCATGTTTTTTGACCAATTCCGTGAAGATTCCACCCAAAAGACAACAGGCAAGACATGTTATCACGACTAAATAGTAAGAGGAGAATGCACATTTTCTTAAGAGGTTCCTAGAGTATGAAAGAGGAGGTATAGCCGCAGATAAGCAAGAGGCAAAAGACTAAGAAGAGGACATTGCAAGTGCAAATCTTTTGGAGCTTTGCAAATTGATCCATCCACATAAGATGGATATTCTATCTAATAGCTAGGCTAAGTGGTTAGAAGGCCACAACCTTAAAATTAAGACTTATGAGTCAAAGTTGACATACCCTACTTTGAAAAAAGACTCAATCTTGACAATTTTATTGATTGGATGCATACCGTTGAAAGAGTCTTTGATTTGAAAGAAATTTTTAATGACAAGAACATTAAACTTATTGCTATCAGTCTTACAAAAAAGCTTCCATATGATGGAAGAATTTAAAAAAAAATGACTTTGAGAAGACAAGCTAAAAATCACCACTTGACGGAAGATGAAGAAAGCTCTCAATCATGAGTATCTTCCCAACTTCTATAAGCAAGATACTTATCTTAAATGTCATACCTTTATGCAAAGAGCTTTGAGTGTTGAAGAATATACTCGTTGAATTTGAATAACTCATGCTTAAATGTGAAATTTATGAATCGAAAAAGCATGTTGTTGCACAATATTTTGGAAGCCTACGAACAAATATTACTAATATGGTGAAATTACAATAATACCATACTTTATATGATGTTATCAAACTATCCTAAAGTTTGAAAAACATCATAAGACATCTAGATGGAGTAGCGGTAAAGTTACAGCTAGGGAGACTCATTTTAGTCAAAACACTTCGATTAGGGTTTCAAGGCCAACACAAGAAGGCCACGAACAACTAGAGAGAATGAAGTTATAGGTGGTTTTAACAAGAAAACTTAGAGTTTAGATTATAATGCTAAAAGGTGCTTCAAATTTCACAACTTAAGACACATTGCTTTTGATTGCCCAAATCAACGAGTTATTAGCTTGGTGAAGGAAGTCGAGGAAGAAAGACTTTACTTGATTCGATTGAAGAGAAGATTTATGCGGATGATGAACTATGAGTGGTCATTAGAATATCAAAAAGGTAAAAGAGGAAAAATGGCTTATACACAACATCTTTCAAACATAATGCACATTGTATGGAAAGCTATGTAACTTAGTTATTGACGAAGGAGTTGTGAGAACATCATATCTTCGATGATGGTGGAGAAACTCAACTTAACCATGCTCAATCATCCCAATCCATACAACGTAGCTTGGTTATGAAAAGAAAATTACATCAAAGTGTCAAAGAGATGTCTCGTACAATTTTCGATGGGTTGAAAGTATCAAAATAAAGTATGATGTGACGTAATTCTAATGAACACATGTCTTGTTAGGAAGACCTTAGCAATATTATTGACGAGTGGTGAATGACGAATTCAGGAATATTTATTCATTTGAATTCGAGAGAGAGAAGATTGTTCTAATGCCTTTAAAGAAAGAATCAAGGTAAGAACAGTCGAGCGGAGTTGATTTGTGAATTGATGTTCCTTAAGGCATAAGAGGAGCATGAAGAGGTTAATGAAGCTGATTTTTTGGGTGCTAAAGATCCTCAAACTTCCAGCAAGGGGGTTGTCATTGATGCTGACTTTAATGGTGCCGTATACGTCAAAATTTTCGACAATAAATTTGACTATGCTGGTGTAATCAAGAACTTAACCAATGGAGTTATTCTTGCTACCCAAAATCGAATGGAGTTTGTTTACAATAAAAGGTTATCTAGTGTACAAAACTTACACTTAATTCTCAGCCATAACAATGTGCAACAAGCTATTAAAGGCAGCATCAAATCAAAAGAGGCATTATCAACTGCTATCACTTCTGCAAGTATGGCAGAGACATCACTCAATCAAGGGAAACACAAAACAAAGATCCAATACGTGATGAATGAAAATGCTATCTCCAAAAGCCATAAAAAAAAATACAAAAGGAAGGACAACAGTCACGGTTGCGTGCGAAACAGATGGAGTTAGTCTTGGGCTAGAGACGAGAACATTACGGGTGACGCAAGAAAAGTGGAAAATTCTGAGGGAGCCACGTATGTACTTGGGTATGGCAGTGGAGATTGCTCAGTGCTGGTAAGTTATTTGGTGCATCACAACAGACTTCTAAAAAATCTACTGAATGGGACTCTGGATTTGATTTCAGCCTCACTTTGGCTCAAGACACTACTATGTCCCATGCATACCTTAACAATCACAACGCTACCAAAAATGGCTCGCATTCCTCTCCATGTGATGGAGTTAATGCTGATGAAGAGCCTTGGGCCTTTAAAGATGCATTTTCGAAAACTGGATCAAAGGAATGGAGGCGATAAAGGAGAGCAGACACGGTTTTGAAAAGAATGATGACGATCAAACAGTCATAGGAAGACATGGGAAACTCTAAACTAGTTAGTTGGGAACAAGCCTGTTTGCTGTCAAGGGAGCACTCAAATATCAGCTTAAGAACAAGAAAAATGGATCAATGAGCATGCGTGTTGCTAAAGCACTCGTTTTTTCAAAAAAAAAAAAAAAAAAAAAATCTTTTGACCAGTTGGAAACAAAAGTTGCTGCAATACCAGAAGCACAGCCCACGTTGCCTCAAAAAAAGCCATGCGGTAATCAAGATAATGGAAAAGAAATTCATGTGGAAAGGAAGCACGGTGGAAAAATTATGCAGATCAACAACCAAGATTTAATTTCAAATCTTGCAGCTACGTACTGTCATGAGTAAGACCAGTCGAATTTTCCAGTCTAACTTTCCAAAACTAAAGGTTATAGTATACTTCAGCAATAAAGTCGTTCCTAAACAATCAGAATCAGCTAAGGTAGTTAACAAAATTGTTTCTGCCAACGATTGCTTGCATCTTGCAACAGACGTGAATAAGCTTGGAAACGGTATTGAAAGAAAGATGCTGCCACTTTAAATTGATTTTGAACTCTCCAAAACAATCCTTATATTTATTCAAGAGAGTCTACAACATCCTTCAAGTTTTTAAGCTCAAGACTCACTCACATTCAATTTGAGTTTAGAAGAAATTGGGCTGAAGATTTTCAAGATAGCATAGATTAAGTGGGCCAAGAAGTTGATCGCCAAGTCAAGACTACCAAAGATCAAAACTCGAGGTTGAGTTTCTTCAACCCGATGTATTTAACCTGGAGTGTGGTCCAAAAGATTTATAGAACTCTTAATATCACACACAAATAAATTAAGAAGTTTCTTTTATTATATGAACCAAAATTTAACTTGTTAGGACATTATCCTCATCTTATGTTATGATAAGTAACTTTAATTAAAATTTGATTGTAACAATGAGTCTATGTAAAATTAGAGTATTTTACTTAAGTTAGGATAAAATTAAAGAATTATAAAGATAAATGAAACTTGAGTTCCGAAGTCCATGGGAGATAAACTTTCTTTAATCTTATCTTACGTACACTCAATTTTATAAAAACATTATCTTGTATAACTAGTATAAATAGGGGTTTTATAGTTGTGCAGAGACAAGTCTTCCATGCTTTGAGAACTAATAAAATCTTGAGAAGTTTCTCTCTAAATACTTGAATCTTTGTGCCTAAGGTTGTAACATTATCTTACGTACACTCAATTTTTTTCTTTGTGCCTAAGCAATAGAATCCGAAAGTCCAATCAAAACAAGGATATAGATAACAGAGCTGAACCATATAGGGTATCAAAACAAAGGAAAGCCAAGGGGCGAAAATGGGTGGAAAAACATGCTTGTACAGTGGCCCAACACGATTGTCATTCACGCAGACAAAGCCGTTGGTTTTGAGGAAAAGGAATTGACATACGCACCTTAAAAGCAAGGACAAAAATTGCAAAAGCACCATTCAGTGGTTCGAGTTTGCCTCTTTTTTCTAAAAAAATCCTCTCTCATTGTGCCATCTCCTATCAATTCTCAACTTGGATTAATACGTTTACCAGAGGATGAGGCCATGTATTTTTAACTGCAAGATGTTTTTTATTCGTATCATCCACGACCAATCTAGAAGCAATATGGACCTCTTTGGCAACTCCAGCAAGTTCAATGGATTTATCAGCAGCACTTGCCGAAAGGCAGATCAAAATTATAACCAGTTGACAACGCTGCATTGTTTAACAAGATTGTACTATTGCATTACATAAGGAAGGAAAGAAAAAGGAAAGTGGAGACTAAATTGTATCCAGCTTCATGGTCAATTGTATAAAGTAATGGGAGGTCAGAAGTTTGATTTTATAGTTTAGAGCCCAATCCGAACAGATGAATTAGACTACAAATTAAGTACATATTTTCATTTAAGCAAATCCACAAATTAAAGCAACAAAAAGATTCTCCAAGTTTCACCGAAAGTGGAGACAAAATTCCTCCAAAGCTTCCAAATATATCTACAATAATAGACCCTCAATTATATCTATTTAATGACTCAGAAGTGCTGATGACCATGGAACAATATTCATATTCATAGCAATTCAAAGACTAAAGAAACCCCACGTCCACTCTTCCCTTTCCACTAGATACCTACAACACTTGTACAAGAAATGATCACATTAATTTCAACTATTAATATAAGTTGCACCTAGCTAGCTGAATGGACCGGAATACAACTCATCAGTTATGCTCATCATTTTTACTAAGTAATTCCATAACACAGGTAGCGCATCAACCATTTTAAAGTACGCACAACATTTCTTCTTCCAGTACAAAATATTATGTATCAAGTATATGAGTATATATACCAGAGTTTTAAGAGCACAGTAATGTTGAACCATGTATAAAACCTCTTACATACTTGATCCTGGAACTGCTCAGGATTTCGATAGTTGTGGGTGTGTACTTGTTTCCTTGACCACAAATTGATGTATGTAAAAGTTATCAATAAGATCAAATAAGATCATGCCGTAAAAAACATCACTACAGAATCTTGTGAAGGGGCCCTGTTGTACAATTATACATAACTGTAGTAAAGTCAAGTACCAGATTTTAAAAGAATAACAACAAAAGCTACAAAGAAAGAGTCATGTATATATTAAATACCTGGAATTTTACAAATTCGAGGTTGCGAGTAATGTCCAGTTGCAAACAACTACAACAGCATCAAAAGCCTCGTGAAGAAATTCGTGATCACCACCGTTATTATCAAGTTTCTTTCTTTTTTACTCAACTTTCCATTTCCCATTGTTATCCATCTCTACACTAACTACCTCGCAACTCAACCCTTATCATCTCTTCAATCCCAAACTCCCTTGCAAAGTCCTGCAAATACATCAACACTCTCTGTGACCAGAAAACCTTTTCGGGTCTCTCTCTTCACCTTCTCGGACCACAAACGGGGCAGTCCATGAAATCCATTGACTCCCCCGGCAAGTTTGTCTGCAGAGACTCGAAGAGGATGCTGTAGACAATGGGTCGGTTTGGGTCTTCACCAATCGGGTCGGATTCAACCCGAGAATCTTACACCCAGGCTCTACCTATTTTCTCAGCTTTCTCAAAGACAACCACTTAGTGACCCTCACTGCGGTGTTCCCGTGCCACCACTAGACCCGAACCACCGGCTCCGATCACCGCCACGTGGTGGGAGTTGAACGGGCTAGTTTTTTAAGTTTGCACTTTAGGGTGGCCATTTGAAGAAAACAAGAAAAGAATATTTATGCAAAAGATTCATGCAAGGTAATGGCTTATAGCAGGACAACAAAAAAGACAATACACCAAAAGAGATGTAAATATATACATTAAAAAAGAGAGAGAGAGAGAGAAAAAAACAACGCAGCAAAATATATTTAACCCTTTTGTCGCGAAAGAAATTAGTAACACTTCAAAAAATTGCTAATTGGTAGAAAGACCGTTGAAATATTGATCAAACTCAACTTAATTGTTAAACAATCACGTCAAAGCAATGCATTGCCTTCGCTAAGCTTTCTTTCAAAAATACCATATCGAAACACGTGAAAGTTTTATTATTTGCGTGAATAAAAAAAGTTAAACTAATTATTTAAAATTAGCTTGAAAATTAGAATTTTTTGAAAATAAGCCTAACAGAGGCGGTGCATTGCTTTGACTTCATTCTTGGAGTGATCAAAATTAAAAAGTTTGGAAGGTTATGAATTAAATTGGATGTGACCCAGAGTAGAGCGGTCTTTCTTTCAATTAGATTCAAGGTATGCCATTACGTCAGGAGTTGTACTTTGTCCTCCCACAGAAACATGGGACGGACCATGAAAATTATTCAAGATCCTTATGTGAAAGATTGAAATAAATTACTGAATAATTATTGGGTTAATAGTTGTAGAGGTTTTTTTTTATCGTGTACCTTTAATTTTTTTAATTCATTTATCTACGTTTGGTTTTTGTTTTAATCTCACTTTTCTTTTAATTTTTAAACTAGGGGTATTATTATTATTTTTTTAATCTTAATCTCATTATTCTATTATATTTTTTCATCTTAATCTCTCTTTTTTTTTATCAAATTTAAATAAATAAATTTTTAAAAATTAAAAAATTATGAAAAAAAAAATATCCATTTATTCTCTCTAAATATTAAGAAAAAAGAAAAAAAAGGTGAAGTTAAAAATATTCTTTTATCCAAAATATCTTTATGAGTTTAAATTTGCCTCTTTGGTAATAAGTAAATTTTGAGTATGAAATAAAAAAATTTATAATATATTTTTTAAAATGTATCTCTATGATAGTAAAAAAAATTTTGAGTATAAAAAAAAATATTTACAATATTTTTTTAAAAAACAAATATGAAGTGAGTATAAGTTAAATTTGTAAACTTTTGAATAACATTGATACTTTTATAATACCTCAAAAGAGTATATTATAATTTACTTATTTTGAATGTACAAAATTTTTAATTTAAAAAATTTAACCAAAACTATCTTCATTTAAAAAAAAATACTATAAATATTTTATTTTATACTCAAATTTGCTTACTATCACATAAATAAATTTAAACCCAAAAATTATTTTTTAATAAAAAAATATATTTAACTTCACCTCTTTTTTATTATTTTAATTTTTAGAGAGAATGATTAGATATATCTTTACTTTTTTTTCTTTTTTTTTCAAAATTAATTTATTTAAATTTGGTAATAAAAAGAACTAGATTAAGATGAAAAAATAAAAGGACGAAATTAATTAAAGCGGAAAAAACAAGTTAACATCATCGAGTCTTAAAGTTAACGAGAGAAATGAGATAAAAATAGAAATCAAATATAGATTAATGAACTTAATACGAAAAAAATAAAGAGAAGAAAAAAGAAGAAAAGGAATCTATACAACCATTAATCCATTCCTCAACTTTCCATAATATTGATCCCTAGTCTACGGATGTTGTTATTAGCCCTCTTTTTCTTGCTAATGCACTTTTAATTTCTTCAAATTGTAAGATGACAAAATTGTCTCTCTTTCTATATAGATTAAATTGTAAATTAACTCCTTAACTTATATAAATTTGATTTGACACTCGAATAACTAATTGATCATGATTTAAGTCCGGACTAACGGGGTTAATATTTTCGTGCACCCCATTATTAGTGTTTCCCACCTAACACCATTATATAAATCGGCCACACGGCTTCCTCTCCTTATTTCTCTTTCTCTCTCCTCATCGTGTCTCGTTTCTTCCTTCTTATTTGTTTTGTAAAATTCTAACATATTAATTATAAATTAGCACTCAAATATACTATGTTTGCTATGTCGTCTTCTAATTCTATGGTTTTTTCTTCTTCTCTACAGTATTCATTTGTGAATTCCTTCCACGAGGATGGATTTTATCTTGAGCATGTTAACAAAAGATATAGTTGTAGGAAGAAGGCTTTTGTGAAGATTTGTAAGTCCGATGCAAATCTAAAAAGGGTATTTTTGAGTTTGAAGCAAATCCAAAAAGGCTATACTATCATTGTTCAATTGGCAAGTATGGATGGATTCGGTGGTGCGAACCTATGGATGGACTTTTGAATGGGCAATTGCTGGCAATAAATGCTCAAATCAACTGTACAAAGACTAGTCTTCATGGGCTTGTTGTTGTAGTTAATGGTTTCAAGGAAAACATATTGAATTTGATGGTTTTTGCATTTGGTACGACAATATATCGGTTTAAAATGTTATTGTTTGTGGTTTTTATCCAATTTAGAACACATCCAAAAAAAAAATGGATTTAGTGATGGTTTAAACTATCTTTAAATGAAAAAAAAAATCGTCGTTAATTTAACTTAGTAATGGTTTAGAGATAGTCCAAAATTGTTGCTAAAAAACTTTTCATTAATTTATTAGCGATGGTTCAAGGATTTCATCACTAATTTAGAGATAATTTATCCATCGCTAACAAATTAAAAATTCATCACTAAAAAACAAAAAAACGTTTGCCAAAATAGTTGACTTTAACAATAGTTTCTCAAGAATCATCAATAAACCGTTGCTAAATTTAGTTTGTATTTAGTGACTATTTATGCATTTCTAATTTTGGCCAAATTTAGCTTGGATTTAGCTATAGTTTTAAAATCGTCGCTAATTCATTTTTTAACAATATTTTTGATTAATTATTTCTTTGTTCACATGTCGCTAATAAATAATATATCTCGTTTTCATTTTCACATATCCAATTCAATCTAACAACTACAATAATAGTATGAAATAGAATTATAAAAAAATACAAATAATTTATAATATATCAAATCCAATCCAATCCAATACATATTCAAACACCAAATTATATTAAAGAGTAATAATATTTCAATAAATAAAAACATAATAGCGATAAAAAAGATAGTGTGATGAAGGAAGAACATGTCACATTATTATTTTCATCCAACGAATGATGGTCAATCAAAGGATTGATGGGAGAATTACCTTTTTTACATATTTAGTAACCTCTACTACACCTTTTGCATCATCACATACTACTTCTAATTATACTTGTTTTAATCGAGTTGTAGTAGTTAAGAGTGATGTAACAATACCCTTCAATTTTGTTATTTTTTCTTCTTTTCTAGCATTGGTTGCCTTTATTTCCTTTCGGTGCTTCTCAATATCAATATGGAACTATAATGTGATCGAACTAGAGGATGAATTGACATTAGAGTAATAATGAGAGGCATGTGACTCGAGTACATACATTCTTTTCCTCTTACTATTTCCTACTTTAACAACCCTCTTAAATATCTCGTTGATGTCGATGATCAATGTTGAAGTACCCTCCATCCCCTAGGTAGTAACCTCATCCTCATATATTTTATTGACAATGTCCTACATAATTGTATAAATTTTATATTAAATAGTAATCTTCATAAGTTATATAAAAGTGACATACGTATAAAATAATCTTATAAATTACTTGAGATTTTTTCTACGCCGAGTTTATCATGAGTTTTCAAGAACGACTCGTGAGCATCGGGGTTCACGATCCAACTCCTTACTTAAAACAAATATAATGTATATTAATGTTTTAATAATTACAAATTATATATATATATATATATATAGGATTTACCATGCATATTGCATGTTTTCCGTATGTGAGCGAACCTTCCATATGTTTAGATAGGCCGGCTCCGACACCACCCATCTTGCTTATGTGGTTTTGAGCCGTCCGCTCAAATCGAGCTCAAGACTCGGGTTTTGCCCATTCTTACTCGTCATACATCCCATATCTCTTGTAAGATATACGCTGGTTTAGGATATGTCTTTATAAGATAAAGGAAGTCGAATATGGTTTTCATACTAGGCACCGTCATGCTTTCCTAAAGCTTCGATTGAACTATTGATCCCACAAAAAGAACATCTACAAGAATATTAAAAATATTCATTAGTATATTTAAATAAACATTAAGCAACTTAATTGAAATATACTATCACGTAATTAATTAAGCTACATATTACCTTAAACTCCTCTCAATAGAAGTCTTTATTTGCTTGATCATTGACTTTCACGTCATTTTGGACAAATCGACATGCTCATAGAATATATTATAGATCCGATGAGAACACACATCGAAAGAATACAATCTATTAAACAAGACAATTAATTATTAAATAAACATATTAATATAATAAGACACTATTAAAAATATAATAAAAAAGTGCATAATAGGTACTCCTTGCCATCAATGAGAGTAATCGGAGTGTGAGGATCATACGTAGAACCAATAGGTGCGGAAGACATACCGAAAGGGACTTATGGCGATAGGTTATGTGCGGATACCCAATGGTCGTCCTATTAGGACATGCGCCCTAATGATGATGAAGGTTCGAAATGCTAGCACGTGGTCTAAATTGTTAGGGCTTGGGCTAAGACATGTCAAACAATGATGGGTATGACACTCGGGCTTGCGAGAGGAAATGCATAAATATCGATAGGAAAGGCCATGCAACTTGAAATGAAAGAAGAACTAT